TCGTTAATATCAGAAGAATGTCGATAATACTTCTAATCCGGAACTCACACACTTTTCATCATTACGTGACCCGAAATTTTCAAAGTTGAGGAGTTGACAGATCTTCATTCAATATTTTGCTCGTTTCCCCTCCATTCCCGTTCTTCTTAGAGGCCACTGCGATGTTTTGAACAGAGAAACGAACTACAAATAATGCGCGTTACATTCTCAAAGAAAAAAAAAAAGGAAAAGGAAAAATTAGTTACAAAAACAAAACTACAAACAGACAGGGTGTGTTAGACAGTATCGTCCGCCGAGAATCATTTCAACAATCACGTCGTTGACTTAAGCTAACAACAGAGACTCCAAACTGGTTGAATCTTGTAAACGCGACCTTCACTGATAGATTTCACCTTCTGGAATCTCCGTTTGGTCGCCATGGGTCGATGAAAGTAAGATTAGTCACAGTAAAGTTGACCTGAAATCGACTGACTAGTCCCCAGTTTACTGGCTTATGGTGCGTTCATTTCCCGCATCACACAGTCTCAGCTTTACAGTATTCAAAACTATTTTTGTTTATCAGCTATTCCGGTTTCTGTATCGTTCTGCCTTTCTTGCAGATTTAAAACAATAATGTAATTTTACCAGCCAAAAATTGGACAGTCCACAAAATATTGGCGAAGCAAAACTTTCCTTTTATGTCTGTTATCGGCAACTTCCAGGTTACTCAAGGAAACTTAAGGTGAAATGAAAATGGATGTAATCAGATGTTTAGTGAATGCGCAGATTAAAATGATTTTAGCTGGACGCTGTTTTAAATTCATTGATTAAGAACCAGATTTGACAAGCTTTCTTTAGATGGGTGTGGCCGAGTTAGAAAAGGAGCCCTAATTAATCTCCTACGAAATATTTCGACCTTGATTCGTTCAGCAACTAAAGATTGACATAAATTTACTGACTGACTGCATAAGCTTTTTTAAAAATGTCGATTTTTCGGCGCTTCTCTAATGGGCGATAGTCAAATTCGGATAAAGATGGCAACAGTTTTAGTTCTTAACGACGTCATTGATTGCAGCTGTTTTGCGACGAACACAAAAAAACAACGTGGATGTAATTTCAGGTTTATTTAAACGTGTTTTGATCGGTGAAGGAAAATCACGAATGACCTTTTCTACTTCTTTATAAGCTTGGGTGAGCAAATCGCAGCAAAAGTAATAATTCATTGCAACTCCTCGCTGTTACGACTCTTTCTCCATTAATTAACTGCTGAACGGTACAACTTTATATCAGTTGCGGTACAATAATTTCAAATAGAGGTAATATTTTCAGAGATTTTTCACGTTTTATATCAAGGTATGAATAATTTCTTTGCATTGACAAACCCTTGTTAGAACAGTTTTCCTTGCAAATTTAGATCCGTTTATCGGCGGTACTCTTTTTTATCAGGATTAACAGTAATCTCCAAAGACTCTTATCTTTGTTACTTTTCTTAAAATTATGAAGGTTTTCTCAAGTCCAGCTACATAAGGATTTTCTCTTTGTTTTAGATCATGGAATAATTCCCTGGTTAAAATAGTTTGCTCAGTTTCATCAGTGACTCCATCTTCAGTGAATACAATCTTTTTTTGTCTTGAAATCTGCCATCAGTCTTTTTTGTCTAATAACACCCACTTTTGTGGTTTATTTCCGTTCAATTTCAACAAACACCGTGGTAATTAACGTTTTCTACTAATTTAGAAAAAGAAACCCATTCAAACACGTGATTGACGTTTTTAAATTGTTCCGTTTGCGACTGACAAAATGGCGATGAGATTTTAAATTGAGTTTCAATATTTGTGGAGCTGAAAATTATTTTTTTAATTACTAAATTCATCAAATTCATCGGCGACTTTGTCGTCTGAGTTATCGATTCACTCTTCTTAAGTAAAATTGCCCTAATAATTTGGCTTTTTAACCTTTGTAATTTACGTATTCATCGATAAAAACGCTGATATGGAATTTTAAGGGGCGGCCTGTTTGTTGGTGAATTAAAGCAAAGAAAAATTGTTGAAAAGCCTTATCGGCTTTTTGTAAGTAAGTTTACTTTCAGTGGTAGACATGGATGCAATTATTTTATCATACATTTATACATGACGAACACGAAAAGCGAAAAAGTCAATTATTTGAAAGTACATCTTGTTCTGAAGAAAGTTTGTGACTCATATGTTTAAAGTACGAGTCATATCAGCCATTCTTTTAACCTTTGATTTTTGCTGATCATAATCAAGCGGAAAAGAGTCTGGAAGTTAAAATGCCCTGTTCAGTGGGGGGAGTTTGCGAGACTTTAAGCCATCAGCAGGAGCTATGGAACCATCAGAAAGCCTCCCGACTTACATTACCATAACACAACATCACACCGCAAACTACTGGCTAAAGATAGAAAACAGGAACATGGCATTTCTGTTCATTATATTCAAGAGGATTTTGTTTTCCTGTTGTTCTGTAATCCTAAGATAAACACTTGCGCACATTCCGAGGACAACTCGAACATGAGGCCCGGAATAAAAGCGATTTTAAATTCCCTTTGAGAATAATCGGGCAACATTACTGTTTTAGACAATTATATATTAATTTCTGGTTACTACGGAGTGAAATTAACCAAGACAGAATTAATGTAAAAGTCTGTTGTAAAAAGTCAGTGATGCAATTGGTTGATTGACTGTTGAATATCAACAAGCCTCTTGAACAAGTTTACACTTAGCGCGCGAAATGATTTGCAAACACAACCGCGCTTTGGATTATTTTTGACTCAACATAATACCGCGGCCTAACGAAGTGCTTTTATCGAGAGAAAGCAGCATTTTTGGCGAGAACGATCTAGATGAAGAAAGAGTCTAGATCACGGACTTTTTTTGCGCGATTTCCGGTTCAAAAGGCGTAGGATATTTGGGTGCGACCGCGTCACGTTGGGAATTTCGATTATTCGTGTCCGCCAGGCATGCGTAACGTGATGAAGTAACGCAGCCGCTTGCACGGCAACGAATCGAGATGATCACTTGTTCCTTTGCTGAATAAGACTCACTAGCAAAGTCTCAGCCGGAAATCTGTTTTTTCATTTTCGCGTTCAAGATGCTACTTCTACTCGCTGCTCTATCCTGCATTATTCAACATTCCTTTGGCTATAACCTAGAGACTGAATTACCAGTAATTAGACGAGGTGATACGGGGAGCTATTTTGGATTTTCTGTTGCCAGCCACTCGTATGAGGATCTTTTCACGACGAAGAGGAATCATTCTTGGTAGGAGTATGGCTTTATTTGGCCACCTTTCACGAGACGAACTTGTGAATAATTTTGAAATATTTGTCTGTTCTGCAGGATTCTGGTCGGTGCCCCTAAAGGCAACAGTTCGGTTTTGCCGCAAATTGAAAGTCCCGGAGTTGTATACAAATGCGATTTTGCTACATATCCGCAGTGCTCAGAGCTGGAACTTGTCAATAGAGGTAAGCTTCATTCTCAGCTGACTTTGATGTCCTCAAAAGCGTTTTGAAATTATAATAGCTTCGTGTTAGTCCTTGCAGCGTTCCGATGAATTACTTTTTGCGGTAGTCGTGGAAGTCACGGACAGACAATTTTAGCTACGTGATGTGTTATGCACGCTTGCTATGTCCTAAATTCCATCGGAATTACCGTTGTCTTTTTTTTTCTAAGCCGGTGTCACTAAATTTTAAACAAAAGGCAGTTTAGAGAATAAAGTTTATTGTAATATTTGAGCAAATTCATTCAAGCATTCTTGTCTAAATTGATCAACAGTCTACTTTGATCAGTTATGGGAGAACCTGCTAAAGTAATTCACTATTGGGCTTGTACCTTAGAAATTTCAAATTTTGAATCTGTCCTGTGAAACCTGCGTGGAAAGGGAAATCTAGCAGGATGAAGCTATAAAACAGATCTTTCGCTTTCCTTTAATTCGAACCACTTTGAATATGTGGTCCGCGGTTTATGTAATGTGTACGATGTTTTGAAAATCGTGATCCCCTATGTCAATAACGCTAACTAAAGAAGGTAAAAACAACTTATGTCAAACAAAAGTGCCTTTCTCTCTTTAAAGTACCGTAAATTTGACACTGTCAGTTAGTTTTTGACATACATGCGTCAACTGTTAGGCGTTTTAGCAGTTCTTTCTGTGCACAGATGGAGAGAGCTTCCCATTACTGTCGATGTCAAAAAATTTTCCAATCCCGTGAATGAGGACTGCCTTTGTTTTCACGTGAGCTCACTGGGGAGCAGATTAATGACTTTTCTTCTATTGTGCCAGCTGCGAAGAGCCGATCGCTTGGATGGAAAATTGTATGAGTATTTACCGAATGACTTTTGTGTTGCCTTTTCTTTTAGTAAACAAAGGAAAACACAGCTGACATCTTATCGTCATTTCTGCCACTGTTAGAACAATATCGATTATACTGATATTGTTAAATAAATTTATTTTTGCGGCTTCATGCGAGGCAGCTGCTCGCGGTGGTGAAGCAAAGTTTGCATTTTTAAGCGAATTTATGCATGGCTTGCAGCCCATCTTTAATTTTTATGCTAAGGACTTCTTAGAGTCATCGTCTCATATTGATGTTTTTCCTTTCGTAGGTTGAATAATATTAGTCTAGGTCGATTGCCAAGAATTTTCTAGTATCATTTTAGCCTCACACCATCAATAAAACAAACTAATAACGTAATGACTCATTCGTAAGGTTGGAACATTATTTTTAGAAAGTTCAAAAAATCGAATTTCCCTAATGGACTTTTTAATCAAAATAGATCGCGAATTTCCTACATTTGCAATGGTAGACAGCCAGAAATTAGGCTTTTATGGCCCATTATCGTTTCTGCTAATGGAAAAATCGTTTTATCTCTTTGTGAGAGAGTATTTTTTGTTTGGATGGTTTGCTTTCACGCTTACTTCATTAACTTCTGCCCCCCTTAAACGCTTTTTCGCCATCGTGAATTTGTTTTGAATGTTCGTGAGATAAGTATCACGGCCTTAATAGGGGAGCTTATATTTCTGACCAATCATAGATTCACGTTTTCGTTGCTGATGTAAATACATTTACCTGTACTGCAAAAATATTATCCACTGTCAACGGGGAATGTATAAAGTGGAAAAAAAATTATCCTGTCTAGATATTGCATTTAAATGATATCAGCTGGTTACGTGAGTGCCTCAATTTCATCAGACTCATCATTTTTAAGGCAAATATTTATTTTGTAAGAAGGGAACAAGCGAAATGAGAGAACAAAAAAAAAGCATTGGATATAAGTTTGATTTGTCTGTTTGGAGTATTTTATCTGTTTTGTGACTATTTCTGCTGATTTCTTTTGATCCCAAGTTTCATTTGCTTTCATTCATTATTAATGTCATCATCTCTTTCTTTTTATCATCTTTAATACCAATGTACACAGTTTTTTTTATCACAAAGAGTATATCACTTGAGTTTGATTAAGTTTGACTTTCCAAATTATGCCAGTCAGATATGATGTGGATATCAGGTCTATAATGCCTGAAGGGGAATATTTATTGTTGTTCGTGATGACCTCAGTTTTTTTTTTTCTCACTTATCACTTTGATTTGGTATCCCAGCATGGGTCAATCACCCTACTGGGATTTGATAGGGGAATCACCTGGATTACCCTTATTAACAATATAATTACCATTATTTTCCCACTGGGTGGTATGTAAGGAAGGGACTTTCTGAAAGCGAATATTTGACTTTGTTGGGGGTAATCTCTGAGTTAAGTTTCTCAATTACAGTACAGGATATTAAAAATTTCAAAGTGAATTTCAGATGAAGAATGTGTGATGGATTCATTTGGATAGTTTTAGAAATTGGTCGGTTTTAAATGTAGAATTGTTTGGAAATTTTTTTCATCCTCTTCATGGCTTGGCTTTTTAATTTTTTATTAAAACTTGCTCAGGATATTTTGAATTTTCAGTCAGAAAAAATGTTACTGCAGTTTCCATCCAGCTTTATTAGGGTTTCAAGCTCCAATTACTTTTGAGTCAGGATTTTTACCTAAATGAAATATAAGTCACTAAGAATAAATAACAATATTTGGGACACTTGTGCAATGTGTCATAACATAGATACTGTGGCCTTCACCACTTAGCTCAATAGAACATAGCTAATTACATTTCTATAAATAGAAGTGGCAAAAATGTGCAAAATTTATAACAGAGTAAGAAGCCATATTGTTTTTTCACTTTCCATGGCAACCAAAAGGGGAACCCTCGGAATTCTTTGTATATATTGTGATTCTGATTTGCATCTTGTAGAGTTCAATGTTTTTTGCTTTGTAGACATAAATTTACTCCTTTCACATGGGTAGCAGGATGGAAATAGGGGAGGCTCGGCTCTGGTTGAGAAAAGGAGAGCTTTGGTTTGGGTTGTGTAATGTCCCCCCCAACCCAAATCTTCCTTTCCTTCTGGACCTGATCTTAGTCTCTAGCTCCATTGCTGCTATCATGCGTTTAATTTCGCTATTGCACTCTATTTTGCTAGCTGTACTCCTGAGATAGGCTAGGTGACTGACTGGTTGACTGGTTGACTTAATACCTGACTGTTTGACTGATAGTCTAGTTTATGGTATTGAAAAACCGACCAAATGAGTCATTTATTGTCTCAAATTAATATGACTCATTTTTGATTGACTGAACAATGATCTGAATGAGTTACTGATATTCCAATGTACTGACTGACTGTCTGACAATCTGACAGACTCACTGCTTAACTGACTGATCAATAATCTGATTAGCAGATTTACTGACCATTGGTTGACTGACTTACTGATTAGTTGACTGAATGATGATGTAACTAGCTGACTGACTGACTGACTGAATGACCGACTAAGTTGATAATGTAAATTGGCTGCAGTAAAAAGTTTCAAAGCTGACGTTTTGAGTGTTAGCCCTTGGTCAGATAGAATAGAGGAACACACAACCCACAATTGCTCTGTCAAAGGGCTAGTGCTTGAAACATCAGCTTTGAAACTCTTTTACAGTAGCCAATTTACATTATCAACTCAGTTGATAATACTAAATTACCCAGTTATAATCTCCCACTGATGCAGCACCACACTTTCTTTAGAATCTTACCACCTCTATTCATTTGAATGATTGATGGAATGAGTAAGGGGGTAAGTTCCCAAAGAAACTGTGGTGCTGCGTCACTGGGAGAATATAACAGGGTAATTTAGTAGTATCAACTGAGTTATTAATGTAAATTGGCTACCATAAACAGTTTCAAAGCTTTGAATCTTTCAAAGAAATGGAACAAACACTTTTTTGGATTGTTAGGGTATTTTTTTAAACCCATTTTTTTAATTGATATTTTAATATACAGAATAAAGATATATATATTTTTCAAAGGATGCCAGCTTTCCTTGGGAAGATAAATTTGTTCCTTATTTCATGTTTTGCAGGAAATCAAAATGGAGATAGGAAAGAAAATGGTTGGTTTGGGGTTTCTGTCATGAGTGAAGGACATGATGCTGATGTTGTGGTAAGCAAGATAAATGTGCTAAATGGCAATTTGGTAATACTTGGCTGAAATTCTTATTTTTACATCCATACAAAGGGACTTACCCCCAGCAGTAGGTACTTTTGAGGTAAAAAGTTGCCTGAATGTTAAAAAAAGAGGTCCATGCATGTAGGATTGGAGGAAGATGATGTCACAACCAAGAATACCAATCTTTTGTGCTGATTGGTTACACGAGTGGGTTATCTTCTTTGCTTGAGATTGCTCACTTTGTGATTGTTTTAAAAAAAAAATACTCACTAAAAGTTGGCTTTTTGGCTGTGAAGTAAATCCTACAGATACTCTAGCTATACTAGAAGAGACAGAATTTAGGTGAAATTGAAAAACCTTTTTAATAATATCCTCAAAGGTAGTTGAAGTTTTGCCCAAAAATTTGTCACTTACCAAGAAACCACTCCTTCAAGCCTTGAATGATTACTTCTCTGAACCTTAAAAAGGTTTGAAAAGATTGTTGTTGCTCTTTCAAGAAAGGTCTCTAGTCAAGAGCATTTTACATACATATTTTACAAATAACTTCTAGGCATGCTCTCATCGACTACTTCATATAGAGGGCTCCTTCTATACCTACCCTGGTCGTTGCATAAGGGCACCAATTGATGATGGAGATGTGGGAAGGAGGAAAACATTAGGTTATTGTGAATCAAGGAATCAAAGTAGGTTCATTTGTTTTAACCCTTTAACTCCTAAGATCTGATTTTAAATTCTCCCCTTTAACTGCTACAGATTTCCATGTAAATAAGTTATGAGAATTTGGTGTCAGACCAAGACTTATCGACCCAATAAGTTTGAATATTCTTATGACCTGTTTGCTGGATAATGTTTAGATATTACAGGGAGAAGTTACTTGTTAATCACTTCATGGAGTTAAAGGGTGAAGGTTAAACTCCCCCCACAGAACTAAAACATAATTTAAAGGTTATGTTCATACCATCATTTGTTTCCAGTTAATGGATGAAACAATGTAACATAGTTTCTTCCTATGGTGTCAGAGCAGTTTCCAAGTTGATGAAAATGGCAAACTTATTATTGAGATTGAATTTTCATGATTCAGCAATAAATTCCCATCAACTATTCTACAAGGAAATTATGTTTCTTGGAGAGGTGAATCAGGAGAGAGCTTAGTAACTTAACAAGTCTTCAACAAGTCACATGCATTGTTCAACTGCAGCTAATAAGGATATTGTTCAGTTGCTTTGCAATTGTAGTTGGTGAGATTTGTCACTTTTTAATGGGCACCCTCAATTCTTGAATTGGTTTGAACTCCTGTCGGATCATAATGTTGTGTTCTGGAGCAGAGCAGGTAACCCTCACAATTCCTCTCTCTGCACAGAGGTGTAACATCTATGAGTTGCAGCAAACTGCTACTGTGAGTACTTTTCTTGGAAATTCATCCATCCCTCATTGTGCATTGGTGAATTATTATTGAAAATTTTTTTTGCATTCATCTCTGTACAGATCAGGCAAATCAAGGAGGTTCAACCACAATAAATTTCAAAGATCACAAATATTGTCAAATGGGAGTTTCCCTTGCCCACTTAAAGGTGAGATTTTATTGCAAACCATAAACAGCCACAAGAAGTTGAAATGTTATCTCACATGGCTTTTGATTTTTTTCCTTTTTTTTTTTTTTTGGGACCACATACCTCCATACTTACCCTATCCCTTCTCCTCTCCTATACATTTGCTTATTCTATAATAATTGTTTCTGTTTCCTTCCTCCCTACTTCCTTTTTTTTAATCCACAAATCCCTTCTTTCCTCTTTGTTTATTTTCTGCCTTCCTTTTCTTCTATGATTTGCATCCTTTGATTTACTCAGCGTTTTTTCTTCCTCCTGTCCAACCTCGCTTTTTTCCTTCCTTTCTACAGACAAGAGGCTTGGAAACTAGGCAAATTTTGAACTTGACATGTTAAATGCAATATTTGCTGCAGATAATGAATTTATCATGTCAACTTTACAAGCTATTTTATATTGATTGAATGTTCTTGACCAATCAGATTTTTCTTTGTAAGTCTAACGTATAACAACTTTTGTTACTCTCAGTGCAGTTCATTTCTGTCAGAGCTGTTAATGTTGTAGAAGTTTTAGAACATTGCCTTTAAAAAAAAAAAACAACATCATTAACTACTACATATTTATTTAGTTATTCCTCATGTTTTCTTTTGTTGCCAAAGGCTGATAATGTGCAGCTGAGTGAAAATGTGCCACTGGTAGGAGCTCCTGGAGTGTATAACTATCAAGGTTTGGCACTTTGTTGTAAATTACATTCTTTGAGTCATACAATTTTGCACTTGTTATTTGCACAGTTTCATGTTAAAACTGACAACCTTAATTGGTTACAAAATCATTATAATTTATACAAAGTGGGATGCTCGTGCTTATGCTAATTGCATAGTTTTGCATGCTATGCAAGTGTGAAGGTGACAGTAACATAGTGCAACACACTCAAGCTTTTTGTCAATGCTAGCCTGCTCCAAACACCTATTTATCAAAAAATAATAATAATAATAATGACGGTGAGAGAAAGTCTGTTTTTCCTTTTTTGTTTGTCTCTTGTTTCAGGAGAATTTATTTATCACAGTAGAGAACAGAAGGAATTCTACAAAGATAACAGTCCATATGGATATCAAGGTATATTTATCAACAAGTTAGGTGGGAAAGCCATATAATAAACTACTTACCAGCCTTGCCTGCCCAAGCCATACTGAGAAGAATTAGCCCTCTGTTGTTTTTTTTAGAGACCTCATTGCACTTAGTCCATAGTGTTATGACCTTAGGCCAATAATTCCCAGTATGACCCTTATGGGCTTGGTTTGTAAGAAGTTAATATTTATCATAATTAAGCAGGGACAATTTTCTCCTGGCCCACAGTTAGCCAATGCTAGTCTAGACAGACAAGTTTAAGGAATCTTACTTCAAACAATTATTTCAACAATTCCTTTCAATGGTAACAAATGATAAACCAAAGCTGATATCTTATCTTTGTTGTCACTTCATGACCTTATTATTCACCAAGCTCAAGAAGAAGCAAAATTATTTTTTAAAAAAAATTGTTATCCAAGACACCACAATAATTGTATCTTTGCAGGTTATGCACTTGCCCAGGGAAGCTTTTTTAAAAAAGGTGCAAATGGTGAGTCCATCTCACTCCTTCATCTAAGCACAATGTACATTTTGCATTCATCTTTTATAATATAATAATAGTAATAATAATAATTTACATTTCTAAAGCGCTTTACAAAATATTCTATGAAAATATTGACATTAACTACCTCTCCTGTCAATAAGTGGGATATTAGGGTTAATTATTTGAGCTGATTTATAAACACATAGAGGTAAAGTCAACAAATTAAGTGTCATCAATCTATCTTCCTCTACAATACAATAATGCTCCAAGCATGTGGTTGCCATGGCAAGTAAGAAAATGTATTTGTTGTTGTTGTTTTTCTTCATGATGACTGATCTGTTAATTTTGCCGAACATTTTGTGATTTAATGTTGCCAACAGATGAGTTCATTAAATAAATTAAGACATATGGTAACCACTGAAAAGCTGAATTTTCCAATTTTTCATCTAAGTGATCCAATTATAGCGATTATCTACTCTTAAGTTATGAATTTCTCAGAATTAGCCATACCACATATCTTTAACTTCATAGTTTGTTTTATTTTTTTCAGATGTTGCCTCTGGTGCACCTAGATTTGACCACCATGGCATGGTAAGATAACTTCTTTTATAAAGAAATCAATAAAGTTATCGTTAATTTCATTCTTAAGGGAATTTATAAAAATATATGGAGTATTTCTGGGTGATGAGTCCACTGCTTAATGTGTACTAGTATTGTTAATAAGGATTCAGCAATCAAACTGTGTCATGATTTGTATTTCATGTTGCATGTTCACCTTCATTCGTGGATAACTTGAATTTGCTTTTCCAAGTTTAGTCTTAAAATTTTCCAAGGTCCCTAAATCCAATTAACAAAATTTGTGTATTTGGTGAACACATTGTTTGCATTTTGTCTTAAAAATAGTTTGGTTGAAGTAAGATTTTATAAGTTAGGAGATTAGGAGGTACTATGTCCAGAATGTCATTGCATTTTAATGCTTGGGATTCAACCTACCCTGAGTTTTGAAATGACTGGAATTTTGAGAAAACCAGGGTTTTAGTCAATGTTCTTGTTGGCCCATTTTATTTGCTAAATCTTCCTGCAACAACCCATTGATTAAATCTCATCACTCAATATATTACCAGTTAATTGATGTGATTATGAATTTGTCAGTTGATTGAATTATTAATTCATTTTTTATTGTAAGGTGGCAGTGTTCAGAAACTTAGGATCAGGAAATTTCCAAAAAGATCCCTCTCTCCTCTTGCCTCCGGTTGAAGATGGTGCAAAGGGCAGTAGGCAACCTGGAACTGGATTTGGGATTGCTCTGTGTGCTGAGGACCTCAACAATGATGGGTGAGAGATTTGTTCACGATTTTGCCATCACAGGCCAAAGCTAGTATCTCTTTGCACCCTAACATCATTTTGCATATTCTCCATTCTGTTCTCTATACATTTCCTGAGGTGCTGACAAGGAGAAAATGTTTCACAATCAAGAGCTTCTTTAGTTGGTGATCATAACCTATATTCTCCTGACCTTATTGTATGATTTAGAGGTGATATTGTAAGGAGAAATTAGATGCTAATCACTCTTAGGGGTCAGAGGGTTGAAAGTTAGAGTTCCCTGTAAAAGAACATGTAAATTTAACCCTCCATTCACAGCATACCCTTTACAGCTCTTTGATTTTGTCTGCCCTTCAAAAACTGTCACTTGAATTTTGGTAAAATAATTCAAAATAGAAAATTTATCTTGTTACCACAATGTCACTAACACTATGTCACTAACACTATGTCACTAACACTATGTCACTAACACTATCACATGTCAATGTCACTAACAATGTCACTACTGCCAATATATGACTTTCATATATTCTTAACCGTTTATTTCGTCACTTCACGGGTTTATTTAGAACCAACATTATGACCAGCTCCCAGTTAGCTTGTTAGCTCAGTTGGTAGAGCACTGCACCTGTATTGCAGAGGTCATGGGTTCAAATCCCGTACAGGCCTGAATTTTTTTCAGGTCTTATTTTCACTACTGCCTAAGTAGTGCACATTACTGCGAGGATCACTTTCATTCACAATGTCACTTATAACTTAGAATTATTCTATTTTTTTTCAGACTTTCAGAACTTTTAGTTGGTGCACCTTTCTATTCTGATGATTTATACCCTGAGCAAGGAAGGGTGTATGTGTATGAAAATAAAGGAAATGGAAATTTGGTTCTTTCTCACAAACTGCCCACAGGTGGAAGGAAGGATCGCTGGAGAGCAAATTTTGGACGTGCACTTGCTTCTGTTGGTGATATTGATCTTGACGGATATCAAGGTATGGGTAACCTTCTAACATCTGATAAGAAATTCTTCCTTCTTGCTATTATACTCTTTTTTGTAAATTAGTTCAGAGAATTTAACTCACTATTACTTGTCAGATTGTGTGTTCTTATCACTTAGTTGCACAAATAAAAATTCTTTGATATAAATTATTGTAAGGAGAAGTACCATATACATGATTTATTTCTTGTGGAAGTCATGTTACAATGGAAGTTCATTTGACTGTTAACTCACAGCATAATCTTTAAATGAATTTTTTTACCAGATGTTGCTGTTGGGGCACCATATGAGGATAGTGGCGAGGGTATAGTTTACATCTACAGAGGCTCAGAAAAAGGCCTTGTTGAAACACCAATGCAGGTGTGTGTGGTGGTCATTACAAGTCATTGAAAGTTCATATTTAAGTTAAGCAGCAAAATGGTCTTAATAGTAAAATTATAACTGAATGGGGAGCCTGAAATTGGCAAAAAGCTGATTATTTTTAACTTCAAATAAATAAAGGGGGTAAGTTTCTAGTCAGAGCAACTGTAGTGCTGCGTCAGTGGGAGAGTATAACAAAGTAGTTTGGTAGTATCAACTGTGTTGATAACATTAATTGGCCACTGTAAAGATTTTCAGCTTTTAAACTCTTAACAGTCAGTGGCCAATTTACATTATCAACTCAGTTGATAGTACCAAAATACCATTTCAAACTTCAACAGAATTTTCCCATACTGTCACAATGCTCAACCAACATAAATTCAAAACAAACAAAACAAACCCTTGAAACCAGTTCAAAATAGTTGTTACAGTCACTGTGGTCTTAGGCTTTTTAGGGATAATTTTTTTCCCTATTTTAGCATCCATGCACTGTTTGAAGAAGACATTAATGGCACTGTCTAAAGAGAGGGTATTTAAGGGCATAAAAGTAACAGCATTGATTACCAACCAAATCATTGCCTACATCACAATGTTACTTTCTTTTTTTCTTGGTTACATGTAGGTTATCAAAGGTTCTTCTGTGTCAGCAGGTATTCAGTCATTTGGATATTCCGTTTCTGGAATACTTGACTTGGATACCAATGGCTACCCAGGTGAGGCTCTGGACTTTTGTTACAATTGATTGATTGTGTCGCCTTTGCATTTTACTTTATCCTGAATACCAGTTTTAGTTGGAAATAAATTTCCAGTCAAAATAATTTCAAACTGGTTTGTAATTTTTTTTAGTTGCCTCTATTCTCTGTATGTCACCATGATCATGGTTGTTTGTGAAAAGAGAAAGAATGAAAACACAAATTTCATAAGTTTTAAATTTTTTATGTATATGCACATGTTTATGCAATTATGAAAGTTGGTTCTTTCAGTGAGGAGAATGGCAAAAAAAGATGACGTGGACCTGCTAAAATTACAATAAAAAAAGAAATTAAAAGTAAAGAAATTAAATTTTTAAAAAGATAGGAACTGAATTGAATTATCATCATTTAGAAAATACCATCAATGGTGTCAGGATAATATGTAAATCAATTAAAAATATGGTTGTATGAAATCCTGTGATTTTATTGCCATGATATTTTCTCTATGAAAGAAAAGGTAGTTTAGGTCAGTGTAGTTTCTTGATGATGGTCTTAAAACCAGTGAGAGGTTTCAGGGCATCAAAACAATTCACTAAAATTGAATTTTGTGTATTCGTGTTCCAGATGTTGTCATCGGAGCTTATCAATCAGATACTGCAGTTCTTCTCAGGTATGTCAATAAAGGGTGTGATCCCAGATATTTTTATTAATGTTGGTTATCTTAGACATTTGGTGATCTCAAATTCAGTTCCCCAGCACCTATTGAAGTTGTTCCAAAAAAAATATTCACTGATATTTTTTTTTTCTACAGGGCAAAACCTGTCATTTCGATGTCGTCAACAATCACAATAAGCCCAGACACATTTGACATCAAGGGCCGTAAGACCTGCAATGAAACTGAACGGGAAGGAAATAAAAAATTTGCCACATCGTGGTAAGACTACACTTTGAGATAAACTCTTCTTATAAATGAGCCCTAGCTCTGAACATTGTGAAATGGTTAACAGTCACACCAGAAAAAGGTTGTATACACATCACTATATTAACCTAATAGATTAATAAAATCAGTCATTGCTACAGTTCATTTTGTATGTGTTGAACAGTTACTTTCAATATTCCTTAACCCTTTAACTCCCAGAAGTGATTAACATGAAACTTCTCCCTATAATATCCATACAATATTCAGCAAACAGGTAATGAGAATATTCAAACTTATCAGGTAGAAGCTGCAGCTATCTTGATCTAGCACCAAGTTCTCATAACTAATTTACAAGGAAATGTGTAGCAGCTAGAAGGGAGAATTAACAATCAGATCTTGGGAGTTAAAGGGTTAAAGAGTCTTCTATTTCTTTTCTCTTTTTATAATCAGCTTTGACATTAAAGTTTGTACAAAATATACTGAGAGATCAGGAAAAGTGAAAGAAAAAATTGGTGAGTTAGTTAGGCTGAATATTGTAATAAATTAAAGTATAGTTTGAGTTTGTGTTATGAGCCTTTGTGTTGGAACCTTCCTCAGGAGGGGTATTGTGCCTTGTAATTGGGCAAAATAATTTGATCTCACCATGCTACTCTCATGTTAGGGTATATTAAATCAATACCAGTGGTTGGTCATAAATCCCTAGAAATGCAGGTGTAGGAAGGGGGATAACCTTTCATTGGTTATAACAAGTATTCTATCCAGGAAAAGTGTCACTACATTACATTCCTTTTTTTTTTTTTTTCCTTTGTTTTATCATGAACTTCAACATCTCCAGGATTTTTAACGAGGAGAAACATTAAATTGAAAGTGTTCACACAAACCAGCATATAACCATGATTGAGTATTTACATTTCCCAACTGTTTGGAATACACAAGAGTAGGAATGTTTTGCCTTACTGTTTTAAGTCATTTTAACCGGAGATTTAGCCCTTTTCCTGAAAAGTAAGTTGTTCCCAACATCAGCTATTCTGTGCAGTGTCAGGGAAGGCAAGTATGAACTACTTGTTATGATGTATTTAAGGTAAGCATGAAAACTTTTGTTTCTTCAGGTGTACTTCTAACTATGAAGTCTGACACAGATCCTGAGTGGGAAGCAGACTCAAGAGTTTTGTTCCAAAAGAATCAGAAAAACGAAATTAATCGAACGGAGCCAATAGGTGGCAATGATACTTGCTTTGTCTGGTTTGCTTATATAAGGGTGAGTAACTTTTTGTTTGAATATCTTTGTTTTCAGATGTTTTTGAGAACTGTATTGTGGTGCGACCTTGAAAAGGGCCGCAAAGACCAGATATTTGCTTGTGTCAACAGTGGACTTATCTTGCTTGATATTAAAAGCTTATGTTAGATCTCACTTTGGTTTTCAGGAAGGGGTGACAGATGCAGATGTTTATCCTGACATCCAGTTTACACTGACTTATCAGATTGTGAAGGAACCAACACCAAATGTCAGTGACCCTACAGATGTACCCTCACTTGTCCCATTTGCAGTTTTTGATCCTTTGAAGCCACAGCAAGCCAACGCAGTTGTAAGGAATCTTTTGCTCTTTGGATCATGAACAACTTCTTTGGATGAAGGGAGGAGTTATTGAGTGTTTTGGGGGCAGGAAAAATTACAGGATTGAAGGAAATATTAATCTCTGGCTGTGTGGGTCAATTATGGCTTGTCTTTTGAGGTTACTTTTACACTTTGTGTCACTAGGTTAGGTCTGTATGCAGTGAAAGTGAATTGTTTCAGAGTCACAATGGCCTTATTACTAGTCTTTTTCCTTTTCTTAGCTTTCATTCAAGAGAGATTGCAAGAAGTGTGTTCCTGATTTGAAACTTGATGACAAAGAGAGTAAACGGTGAGTTTTCTATGTTCTTGAAGTCTTAAAATTGGAAGATATTGGTGAAAAAAAGAAAGAGAGCTTTAGGTCTAGGTTCAGGTTGTTTCTTGAGTTATTATCAGAAGAGGCTTGTGTAAGTTCCCTTGTATTCAGCTATTCTATGCAACCTTGGTTTTATATGCATTTTTATTGATTAAGTTCCATACAAGAAAAATGCAAAAAAGATGGAGACCATTATTCACTCAGAGATTTTGACTAAACAAAAAAGACAGAAATGTTGCCTTTACCTTTTAAATCCCATGAGTGACCAAGACAGAATTTCTCCTAACAATATCAAGACAATATAAGGCAGACAAATGCTGAGAAAAACTTAAGGAAAATATTAATTAGGGGATTATTAGTTGATTCAATACTGCCGTTGTTTTGTCTTTCTGGCTTGCAAAGCCAGCCATGCATAATTTCAAAATTTAAGTTCCTACATGTATATAATCAGTGTTGAAATACATATTGATATCAACATTTTATTTCCTTTTTGAAACCATAGAACACTTGCTGTTGGTGCTAAAAACTACAAGTTGGCAGTTACAGTAAAGAATGAAGGAGATGATGCTTACAATGCAAAGTTGTTTGTAACAATCCCTAAAGGAATAAAAATAGGAAAAATCTTCAGTGTTGATAAAGAAGTAAGCTGTTTGGCTCTTTCAGCCCTAAAAGTGCCTAGCGTCTAGTTTTCCTTACAGTGTCACCCCTGAATCATGCATTAAGCTCACAAGAATAAACCCTAGATTGATAAACAAATTTTCCTTGTCAGCACCTTGGAAATATATAGAGAACAGTACAGAGAATATGCATACTGATGTTAGGGTGTAAAGGATTTTAAGATTACATAAACACTTATCATTTGCTCTGACAAAGGGCTGACACTTGAAATCGTCAACTTTGGAACTCTTATGTCTTGATGGCCAATTTATGTTTTCTACTCTGACTGTTGATAATACTAAATTGCCTTGTTACACTCTCCCAATGACACAGCACCACAGTTTCTTTAGAAACTTACCCCCTTTAAGCACTTATCAGTGGGTATGCTTGTTTTCTTTCAAGATATTTAAAGGAAAAGCTGTTGAAATAACAACACTGGCCTCTAATGACACCTTTGTGACTGTTAAGCTGAATACTCCCTTCAAGAAGAAAGAGGTATGGTGATACTCAGTATGCCGTGTGTCAGATATGATCTTGACTAAACCATTTATTGTAGAGCTATTTGGTGGTTTCCTTTGTTATCAACCAATCTTCAGAATCTACTTCCCATCTCACGAAATGGTAATAAGTCTTGATAAATGCTCATTAGATTTATTTAATTACTAACTTGTTCTCAGGCCTAAGATTTTAATTGGTGAGCTTTAAGTTTTGAGGCTGCAGCCTTTGAAAAATCATGGGAAAAACATGAGCTTATAGATGAAGAATCATAGGATTAGACATTTGGTGGGTGATAGTAATGGACACAGAGGTTTTTATTTTAACAACTGCGGTTTGTTTGTGTTTCAGCAACCAATTCAAATTGATTTAGACACCTCAAGATACAGTGACACTCCAGATTTCCTGCCAATACATCTTAGCACAAACAGGTGAGAAGGATTCAACATTATTACTGTCAGTGTTTTTTCTATAAAGAGTCTTTTTTTTATAATTATTGTGTCAATAACAAAATACTAAAATATGAGTGGTTCTTATCAGCTCTCATTTTTTGGCTTAATACAACACATGCAAAAATTTCAGCATGCTCTTTGGCTCAGAACACATCAATTAACCACAAACAGTGCACAAAGTTGAAATTGAGAGCCAAAAGTTGAAATAGTAACTTACTGACAGGTTGGGTGAATTTTTATTGTTTCCCATGCAGTACGAATGAAGAGGACAGCAACACATTAGCTGACAACTATCGCTTTTTGAATATATCTATCAAGTCACAGGCAGACTTGGAAATTAATGGGTAAGTTACTGTTATCATCATCATTAAAGATGGTATGAGGAAATTCTCATTTATCGCTTGAAAATATATAATTAGATATGGATAAGGAAAAGTTACTTGTCAATCAGTTTTGGTAATTTATTTTTACTTATGATAATTATGTTTTTATCTGTTACAGTACAACAGTTGAAGAACAAGTTGCTTATGGGGGCAAGGTTGTTGGTGAAAGTGCCATGGTTAATGCAGAAGACATTGGTAATGAGGTCATTCACAAGTATTTTGTAAGTACCTTAATATGTTTTGTTATTTCATTTATGTCAGAAAACTGTGACCGCGTGACCCTTCATGGGAATGTTTATTGTGGTATGAGTTTTTTTTTTCCTCTCTGGTTTTGTCTCATGCAATTTGCATCTCTCCCTTGCAAACCCAAGGAAAAGCTATTTTAAACTGAATACATTCAATGATTTCAAAGAAACAGGGTAGGCAGAAAACTGAATGCACATGTAAAAACTGGGTGCACATGTAATTAAAAGCTCTTTTTCCAATGCTCTGGTTGTTCCATGTTTGAGAAAAAAAATTTCTCTTCGTTTTTCCTCCTTTCTGTTCAAAGGATCCTTTTAAATTTTTTTTGTTTGTTTATGTGTTAACAATCTGTTTATCTATAACTTGAATTTATTTTAGGTGAAAAATCGTGGTCCAGATCCAGTTCCCCACACCGAAGTAATAATAGAGTGGCCTTTTGAAGCACCAAGTGGGAAACATTTACTTTACCTCATGAATGTTAAGGTAAATGTTTTCTACCTCATGTTTTCTTTATTAAGACTATTGACAAGAATGTTTGTAGTCATTGGGTCTTCAGCTATTGATTGCTTTTAATCAGTCTTATGAATTATTAACTGCTAATCTATTGACCAATCCTTCCCCTGCCCTCGCCTTCCAGCATTTGTTCAGGTTCCCCTAACAGGTTCCTGGCAGAGAGAGACCCTGATGTAGGGAAGTGTTTCTTTCAAGACTACAACTCAATAACACTGGGCCAGTTTGTTCAAAGGAGGTTAACGTTAATCTAGGATTAAAAGTTAACCTTGGCTCTAGTTGCTTGTGTAGAAGAGCACATATAAGAGCTTGGGTTTTTTTGGGATTATATCTCAGTATGACTTGAAACTAACAGGAAAAAACATACAAAAGATAAATCCCTTTGCAAAGGTATTAAATTCAATTAAAAGTTTACAATAATCCTGTGTAAGGTTAATTGTGTTTTGAACAACCCGGCAGTTGTTGTCACCATGTCTCCTCAACTCAAGCCAGTAGAGATGGTTGAATGGTTGTGATGGTATTTTCCCTTTTTAGGTTGATGGAAATAGGGCTTATTGTGAGAAAAAACCTGGGCAACTGAATATGCTTGGTTTAAAGGTAAATAACTGAAAATAACTTCATTTGCCCTTTCCATAGTCTCGCATCTTTTCAATATCAAGACTGGTCATTGTTAAATATCAGATGTCGTGGGGTAAAGGTACTTCTGCAAGACTTCTTTAAGTAGACTCTGTGAATAGAGTTTATGTTCAGGCACTTTTGAGAAGCGTGAAACAATTTTCAATAGTTCAAGGTAGTGGGGGTTTGAGTTAACTGATTGTAAATGAGTGAAAAAATTGGGGTCAATGGAAATCAGCTCTTGTTTGAGTTAAAGGGGGGATTTTAGTAAACTGTTTGAGTTAGTGGGGTTCTACTGTATTTAACTGATTGTGAGTGATGCTTGTTGAAATCTTTCAGACATCAGCCGGTGGCAGCTCAGGACAGCAACAGAATGACACATCAGTTGATGCAATGGTAGAAAGACGAAGAAGGCGTGCAGTGGAAAAGACAGAGTCAAGTTCCAAAGTCAAAAGAGAAACTGACCCTAAGAAGCCAGAGAAGCTTCAGTCTGACCTGGTAAATTCTACTATACATCTTTGCATAATGATTGCTTTGTGAAGGTCTCCTAAATAGTTTGGGGTGAAACTTTCAGCATTTGTTTAAAAGTTAGCAAGTAAAGCAATAACATGAATGCAATATGGTGTAATCACTTTGACTTGGAACATTTTTTTTTT